TAACCTATGGATTAACCTTCAGCAGCGTTTTTATCGTTTTAATGCCATTGAACACAACTTTTGATCAGAAACAGCAAAAGGTAAGACAATGTCCCGTGTTTGCTACCTAAAGCTACATTGTGTGATGTCTGTTTTTGTTTCCCCTGTCGCGAGTCCTGGTCGCTCAGTGATGATACTTATATTTCTGGAATCTGTGGAGTCTCAGCTTGCTAATCGATATATTATTTGTGCAGATCCGATAAGTAATAAGGGTATTTTAACGTGAGTTCTGTGCTAAGTGCGTTAGCATTTTTTCGCTCAGGGCTAATTCAGAGCCTTTGTTATTACCCTTATGTTTCGTTTTGCAAAAAATTGTTAATATTGTCTGAAAGCTGAGTTTCTTCCCGTTAAGTGGATATGACACATTCATAGTTTATTAAATGTTAAGAAGCCCTCAGACGCTGTTTCTTGCAAGATGTTGCGTTTTGCCCCCCGTGGGGTTTAACATTAAAAGTAACCCTCAGTAATTCGATGTGCACATCATTTATAGCTGATTATCTTAAAGTTGCAAATATTGCTTTAAATCACTAACTGTTGATGATTTTAAAAGTCATACTGATAGAGAAGACTGATACAAAACCGTAAAATAAATGTGTAAAACTCGTTTGGTTGTTGGTTGGTGGCAATTTTCCACCCTGAATGTGGAGAAGGAAAGAAAAGTGACAGCTAGTTGAGAAAGAATGAGAGACGCACATAGAAAAGTACGGTGTGGAAAAAACCCATTCTATTCAGAGAATTGCTTTTTATTTCGCACACATTCTTAATAATGTGACACAAAACTTTGAATACTGCATCAACTGTATCATGCATGCACAATACACCACATGCAGCACACACTTAGGATTACTAATAATTATTTTATTATTCAAATATCCTTTTTTCCAGACAGATTTTTCCTCATCTTGCTAGTAGCCCTTTACCAAAACGGAATGCATAGGGGATGGAAATGCTGGCGGCCTGAATGGAGATGTGGTGACTCAAACTAACTGAATTTGCACAAGACAATAAAGTAAAGTAGAAATGGGAGACATAACACACCTACATTACAATCACAACAGAATAAGAGAACACTGATCTCTTCCCTGGTTGCACAAGTGTCTAATTTGGTTATTTCAATAAAAGAACGTTTAAATAAAAAATACATTTAGTGTTATTAAAAAAAGACTATATATATCGTCTTCAATATGACTGATTATTACCATTAAAATCACCTTTATAACATTCAGTTCTTCACCCTGGTGTTATTTGACTATGTAAAATACGCACTTTCATGTAAACAGGGAGTGCCACTAAAGTTCCTCCTGTTTACGTACCGCCACATACACGTGTAGTGTCCATGATATTCATTCTTGGAGGCAGTTCATACATCTCAAATAACTATTATTTTCTGGTCATCAATGTTAAGCAAATTTGGATAAGTTCGGATCAAATTTGAGGGTCAAGAAAAAGTATTTGTTAAAAATATTCGCAATCTGTGAAAATCTTTACTACAAAACAATCTTCAGAAAGAGGCTTGTGTCTTTAAAATAGCCAGATGGTGGCAGTTATTTGCTACATGGCTTCAATTTACAACAAATGTTATTTAAATGTAGTCATTGTGCTCAATCAAAAGACAAACGAACAATTTCAAGTCAGACCACAACAGAAACTCAGGTAAGAGGCCTTGGCAGATATTCGGTAAGACCAAAGCTTAGTATGCTGGAGGATAAAAATAGCTAAACCAAAAGGGAAATAAAACGTATTACATTAGCCTCATATTACGCAACCCTGTTGAGAGTAATGTGTCTCTAGTAGTGAGAGAAGCAAGCCTTGTATGTGTTTGATCAAACATAAAAAGTATTGAGACTGACAGAAGAAATTATCATCGTTGTTGGGGAATAATTTGCCCTGCATGTCCTCCTTCGCCCTCTGACGCAGCTGGCCAACCTTGAGCAGCCGTTATCTCCCTTAAGGAGGGGCTGCACTCGCATATTGTTGATGTTGCCAGTTTATGACCGGGCAACTCTCGGTCAGAGATAGTTATTGTTTTGGGACACCTGGAACACGTCCTTCTCGGGGTGTAGATGACCCCGAGCCATAAGCGACAACAACTGTGATTCAGTGTCCTCAGCTGTTTAGTCTATCTATTGGAAAATGTTGATTATTACACTCTGAACTAGTTAAAAGCTCGAGCTACAGGAGGGGTCTTGAGAATTGATTGTGGCATCTCTACCCTGTGGTCAACTCGTGGCCCGTGACATGTCTTGTGAATTCTCCGGCCGAAGCTCCAAATAAACCGTCAGTGTTTTGCCATCAAAGCTCCAGCTCTCCTCGTGTCTCTCTGAGTCCTGACTCCAATTGCTTCAGAAGTTTCCCCCACAGTCGTTACCTGAGGAGAATCTGAGGGGTCGGGAGATTTATCTCACACTGTATGCTTTCCTGCTTTTTTGCGATAACATACTGGGTTAACTTCTGGCGTCTTCCATTAATTGAGTGAGATTTTCATCAGCATTCCCTAAATGCTGCTGCTGCTGATTAAATTAATGACCCTCTCTTCGGGTGAATATCCCCTTTTCCTGATGTGTTTTTCCCACTTCATATGTGTTCTGAACACGCCTAACTTCCCTTCCTCACCATTTCTTTACCAATGACTTTCACTTTTAATCTCTATCCTTTCATCTCTTCAACATTCACCTAATTTATTACCTTCTTATTCTAAATGTAATTAAGAGAGGAGTGGAGCTTGTATCTCATTTGTATTCCAATATTCCCCACTCTTTTTAAATAAATACTTGCAGAGCTCCAAATACAAATTCGAGGAATTTCAAGGGTTATCACTACTAGTCTTTACAAAAAGTAAAGTTTAGTAACATTTCTTAGGCAGAAGATGTTTTACTTTCAAAGCCCATTTCAATGAAAGTCCATTCAACTGAAGGTTCCAATGTTAATCTGCCCCTCGGAGCTCCACAAGGAACCTGTAAGGCTCCCCTGAAACTTTGTTTTTAAGAAGCTTTCAAGGTTTGTCAATATTTAACAGAAAAGTGTTTTTTACTTGATGTAACCTTAAGCAGAGGCATTATAAATTAAATATAATTGGAAAATAAGAAAACCACAGAAAAGTTTTTGAACAACCGTATTACGAAGGATTGATATGTTTCTTTAGGTGCTTCTCCAAAGCTCCAACATGTAATTACATTTTTAAAGAAAGACACTTTTTTTTTGGATGTAAGAGGAACATCTGTTGGATCTATAAAACCAATTTGGGTAACAATTAGTAGACATTTTTGAATCCTGCAGTGTTTCCCACAGATCTGAAATATACTTGTGGTGGTTGCCGAGAGAGAGGGGGACCACGGTCTACGAAAAAGGTTCCTTAATACTTTTTGGAACCAGACTGCAGCAGCTAGTTAGTGTGCATTAGAAATCTGGTGTTAGTCGTGAAGCAAACAGTGTTGTCAGTGCCAGAGTTGTCTGTATCAGAGCCAGCGTATCCACAGCACTCCTGTGTTGTCCTATAGTTTGTTTTTGTCTTTTTTTCTGTGGCATCTGGCTTCAGTCTGTGGACCGCTGGGAAATCATGCGTTGTCGTATACCAGTTGGTGTTGACATAGGTTTTTGGAGCTTTGACGTGTTCACACTCCCCTGTAGTTGTACATTTGAAAGGACACTCTTTGAGGTAACACATTCTCTAGACCCTTACTCTAATTTTAACCATCACAGCAAGATACCCATCCTAACCAAATGCTGCTCATTTTCAGGTTTCATATTTGTATTTTGTGCTTCTACTGTGACATGTTTAGATGCTTTAATGTTCAAAAAGTGCTATATCATGCTTTTCATTTTCTCACGCTGCCTGTGCTGCAGCACCTCTTTTCACCCTCTGTCTGAAACCAGAGCCCAGTCTGCTCTTATCGGTTAACTGACCAACTCTGTTGTTATTGTTCAACCGCTTACAGATGTCCCGCCCCTAAGCCTATCATGTACATGTTGGAGCACTAGCTAATGGAAGCGCAAGTGTTACATAGTGATGTCATTATGATAAGGGGATTAACAAAGGCAAATTGAGGTGTTTCAGGCAGGGTAAGAAATTCCTCTGAAGGGAACTTTAGGATTTTAGCCTTTGCAGAGTTATTCACTGCACAAAAACCTACATAACAAACTACAGGAACGGGAAACCCAAAAAGCATAATAAGGGCCCTTTTAGAAACAAGTCCTAAGCCTCGAAAAGGGTCTGGAAGGAGGGAGCTCAGGCAAAATGTCCTTAAATGTGTTCCTTTCCTCGCTATGTATTAGTTACAAGGACTGTCACACACAGATGAGTGTGTATGCAAAGATACACATGAACTTCACACACTACATTTCATCAAAAACTAAACGAGATTAATTCAATGGAATTATGAGATTGTGTGTTTGAGAGTGCGCCTTGTTCCTGGTTTATTTCATTCTCTCTTTGTTTTTACATCATTAATACCCTCTCTCTCACACACACACACACACACACACACACACACACACACACACACACACACACACACACACACACACACAAATATGTGTGCGTGCACTCCACACATAGCTCACTGGTAATGGCAGCTATGAAGACCACACACACACACACACACACACACACACACACACAATATAATTTAAAATACTTTATAAACATCTATTTCTTTCCTACATGTACATAAGGGCATTGTTTCTTTCAAATCAATCTTTTAGTTTCAATAATTGGTCCTCCAGAGTTTTGAAATGTTTTCTTTCATTGAGAATGACCATATTTCTCCATTTATTGTTGTCATAGTGACGTTTATATGGAGTTGTAATGGACTAGTAAGTGCAGGTGATTTTCAAAGCTTGTCACATACTTGAAAGTTAAAAGAGTTTTAGAAATCCAAAACAAATTGACAATCTTTGGATATTTTTTCTGTAATATAAAGCTTATTTACAGGACACTTTTTTTCTTCTATTAAATCCTCCAGGCTGTCATGAGTCGTGCTCAGAATGCCGTGGGCCGGGCCAGCAGGAGTGTGTGTCATGTTCCGACCCGGCTGCCTTGCTCAAAGACGGGGGATGTGTCCCTGACTGTGGCGCTGGTTTCTACAGTCAAGAAGGCGTATGCTACGGTAACGTTTACACATTTCAATACTGCACTACAGAAGAAATAGCAGAATTGTATTTAACACTGTTATGGATGTAGCAAGTTTTTTGATATGAGGATTGTTTGAGTATGGAAAAGTAATCCTAACCCGAATCCTCCAACAAACCAATGCTAATACAAGCTAAGATCAGGCGTCAAATGCTAAGGACACATTTCCCTAGATGGTTAATAAAGATATCACCTAGCCTAGACCCAACAAACACTTATGTTAGTCTTAAAACAATCACATTAGTTTAAAGATAAATCTTCTTTCAACATATTTTCTCACCTCATTCGTTTAACCTAAAATATTTACTGCAATAACTTGTTTACCAGAGCTTCCTTAAATAGACATAAACAAATGACATTCAGCTACATAAAATAACCTGATTGTTCTGTTTTGGTCTATTTTCTGCTTCTGTGAGCACACTAATTGGACTCTGGTTCTTCAGTAATAGAAAGTTTAATTGTTTAGTGTCTTTGCAAAATGTTTTAACTTTGGTCTATTTCGAGAAATCTGCTAATGCATTTTCCCCGCATGAAATATCTGAATTATTTGTTATTGTCAATAAAAAAAAGTAAAATAGATAGAGTTGAATTCTAAACATTTGAAAATTAAATAATTCCCAATTAATAAAGCTTCAAACAGGCAGATATGATATGCTATATGTGCTATTCTAAATGTTTAGGATGAAAAAGTACCTGACAAAGCTGCAGTCATCCGACTGAAATGTTATCGCTGTGTAGCTTCATATTTAAACAGACACATTCTAATGCACTGCTGCAGTAAACAGAAAACACACTGACACAATAAGAGGTTTATTTTTGCGGTCAACCGGAGGTGAAGGTTTGTTTGGGCTTGTTTTGTTTTTTTACAATCCCTGTCAAGCTTCCACTGCACATGGTGCCAAAATGATGAAGTCAGCAAAGTTAGCAAACAAACAATCTAAAAAAAACAATAATTAGCAGCTCTCTCTAGCACTAATGAGGATTCAGAAGCTATTTGAATAAGGAGATCCTGTATGAATATGGATTGTTTCTATTTTGGAGCGGTGAGATGAGGAAAAGCGAGAATAGGCCTCCCTCAGGGCGATGGTGAACTTAGCAGCACAGTTTGGCTCTTTCTTACCACCTGCAGGCGGGTCTCGTGGGGGGGGGGGGAGACTCTTCAACACCCCATGACTCATGTGGTGGACTTGAAGCCCTCAGCAGGGAGCCCTCACAGAAAATGTCAAAAGCCTAGGGAACTTTCTTGAGAAAAAGGTCAAATCCATTAGAAGTTGCCATTTTGAGTTTAGAGATGTGTTTTTAAATGTCAAGATCCGGAGAGAGCTGAAGGTTTCAACTTGTCAAGGTTTTCCCTCTCAGGGCCTTCTGGGTTAGATTTGATAGCTTTCTATTTGTGTCCCCTCCAGCATGCCGTAGGAGTACCTGTCATTGATTTCAGCCTCAGTTAGGATGGAGGCAAAGATCTGCCTGAGCTTGTGTGCATGTCAAAGTGTCATGTCAATATGGAATTCTCCACACGGTGGTTTTCACACACACACAAATGCACTTTAAATTACACTCACAACAAACTCAACCATAGTCCTGTTTGTTTCCAGTGTGAGAGCGGTTCCAGGGCCAGTTTGGAGCCCCTCCCCAATTGCGAACCAGTGTTTGGTGTTTCTACCGCAGCGGTGGCAACTCTCGGACCCCGAAAACTGGTTCGCATTTAGAACGAAATAACTGCTGGGCAAGAACCAGCTCCGGACTAAAAAAGCACCGGCACCAAACTACAACAAAACAGATTCCCGGTGGAAAAGGGGTATTAGGTTTCTGACTTTCAGGATAATTACAGAACGTTCTGTTAGGTTAGAATCTGAAAAGAGCAGCAGAGCTCCTTTTGGGAACAGCTCAAAGCTTAGTGTGTAACCCACTGAACGATATGCATGATGACCAAAACTATGCGACCAAAACTAACCAAATCCGTGTTTTCCAATATACCAAAAGCACCTCAACTTGGTTTGGCTTTTCACATGTGAAAATGTCCAGAGTCACAAAGTGAAACTCAGTTCTTCTTACAGAGTTTGGTTAGGAGCATTTCATCATTCCAGCCATAAGCCATTAACATTTACATTTTGCGATTCACAGCCTGCGATTCGTCCTGTGCCTCCTGTTTCCTTGACAACCCCAATTGCATGAGCTGTCTGCCGGAAGCCGCCTTGCACCATGGGAAATGTATTTCCCAATGTCCAGCACAGCATTACCTGGACGACAACAGCAGATGCAGAGGTAGGATTAATCTTGAACACAAATTCCTACCTACATTTAGTTTTTAAGTAAAAGAGAGGAAGGATTCAGCCATGGTTGTGTTTCCACCCTGTTCCCTTGTTCCTCAGTCTGCCACAGCTCCTGCTCTTCCTGTTGGGGTCCCTCTGTGTCCCAGTGTACCCTGTGCCCAGGTGGGCGCCTTCTTCACCAGGGTCAGTGTGTGGAGGCCTGTGGGGAAGGACTTTACTCCCAGGACACCACCTGCCACAGTAAGAGCTTCAATCTAATTATTTCAGGATTATACAAATAAGCTTATATGAAGAGCTAATAGTGATGAATACGTTTGGGACAGGTGTTGCCGATAGCTCACCAGAAATATATGGTGGTCCATGTACTGGCGCTCAATCTAACTGTGGCGGATGTGGGTTTCGATTTCGACCTGGGCACCATTTACGCGAGTCACCCCCTATCTCCCCCTTTCCAATCTGTCTCCATAATAAAAGCCTTACAAAAATTAAAAGGTCTTTTCATGAATGATAACATATGGAATTCTATTTTATATCTATGGTTTTATATCAAATGACCTTATGTACAGTCAAAAAAAGACATGTAGTCATTTTTTGAAAGACCCAAATGATCATTTTCAAATGTTCTCCCTTGATACTCTATATAGGGCCGCCTGCACAGTAAAATCATGGTAGGGAAAAGAGATTTTCTTCTGATCCTCACCAGTCTGCAAGCAAACGCAGTGTGGGGAGCAGACCAACAGCAGCTCCCTCTAAGCCCCTGCCTTTCAACTCCCAGAGCGTGTCTATCTTTTTCAGGGCTCTGCACTCACCTACAGTAGTGCCAACGCCTTGCTACCCTACTGGCAAAAAGTCCTTTAGCTGGTGCGTGAAGCTTATGCTCATTTACCTGAACACATCGCCCTTCCTTTAGTGACTTTGCCAGATCTGGCCAAAACCCCTGCAAAGCCTCAACCCGAGCAAAACATTAACTGTCAAATAGTTAACTGCATGAGAAATGAAGAAAAACACAAATAAATTGGTTAATTTTGTCATTTGCCTTTTAGATTGTCACCCCTCTTGCCGGTCCTGTGTGGGACCCTTGGCCTCAGACTGCCTCCGCTGTTTGAAACCAGAGGAAGCCCTCCTGCTGCAGTCCAGTCCCCTCCAGCACGGCGTCTGCACAGCCGGGTGTCCTACACACAGCTTCCTGGATCACATGCACACATGCAGAGGTGAGTGCATTTAAATGACTACATCCACTCAGGGGGATCAGTACCTGCATGGATAAGCTAGTGGGTCTCTTTGGTTTATTGCTAGGGTTGTTACAAGTAATCAAGCCAATTAAAAAAATATTTATCAGTCACTTTTGAACGGATCAGGGGCCTCATTCATAACGCCTTGCGTAGGATTGACGTAGGAAGGTTGCTTACGTAGTACAAAGCACAAAAATAGGTACATACATTTTCCGCCATTTTCCGATTCACAAAACATTGCGTACCGGCGAGGGAAGTGCGTACGGCACTCCCTACGCCTGTTTCCCTTTATAAATCACAATCGACTCGTAACGCCCATATTTGCCTATACATAGTCAAAGAAACGCCCATTCATTCATTCATTTTGACTGACTGCATGAAGAAGATCGCAGGAAATGACGACAGAACAGCTAAAAAAGACATCTCACACCGTGTCAGATTTTGGTTATTGTGGGGAGGTGGAGATAAATCATATTGTTTGGTGGATGCAGTTTGAACCAGAGTAGCAGCATGGAGGTCGGATCGTCACCAAAATAAATAAATAAGTGGTCCGAAAAAAGTTAATGACAAAAAAAATACACATAACCTTCCTCAGGCAGTGTGTTTGTCCCGGGGACAGGAGACACCCCCTTGATGAGAAACTGTAAGAAATGATCGGGGAATCCCTCCGGAGTGGAGTCATGACGACTGGATCTGAATTATTTTTGTTGTATTTGGTGGTTTGTGTTCCAGCTGTCGATCAGCAACTATATATCCATAATCCACCAGTTAAAGGAAATACAACTAATGGATTGTGTTATATTAGCTGTACAATTTACCACATATGGTGTTCTTAGTTTCCATACCTCCTGTGTTTTACTACGCAAACATTGCGTAGAAACTGGCGTACGCCATTTTTTGAGCGTATATCCCTTTATAAATGAGGCCCCAGGTATCACTAGCAGTATTGTCATTAAAGCACAAAAGAAAATCTAGATTTTTCAATCAAACTGCTAATATTGATAGAATATTAATTCCATAACAGTTTCGAAGTGCTGAAATAATTAGTCATCAATCAATTAGTCTATTGACAGAAAATACTTTGACGAGAATTAGAATTTTTGAATTTTAAAGACTAAACAATTAGTTGCCTGATCAAAAATAAAATCCATCCGGTAATAAGTGATACAATTATAATTTGTTGCTGCCAAAATGCTTTTTGAATTTCAAGTTTGTTCCATTTTGTTATTACTTTTCTTTAAAATCCCACAGATTTTACATATAGTTATGTACGTTCACACGTACATACAGATTTGTTTGTTAGGAGCAGACTTAAAAACGGAGCGTATGTTTCATTGACGAAAATCCTAGGGTAGAGTCTAATGTAGATGCTTTTTACTCTCCTGGCCAATACTTAATACGCTACACAGATTAAGTGTTATGGTGTGCATTATCTCAAAAGAAATTCCTCTCTTGGTCATCTTCACACAAGACTAAGTTTTGATTTTGGTGATTGCATTTTTATGAAGCTTTGCAGCTGTGTGTGAACATGTTTCTGTTTGAAGAATAAATACAGTGTTTGTGGAGACACCTGTTTGTGTGAAACTGTGCGTGTAATGGGCACATTTTTAAGGTGGGTTTCAGGTTTCAGGGGATAGTTTGTCAAGCGAGAGTAATTATCACCCGCCTACCAACACAAACACACACCACTGCAACCACAACCTCTCGAAGCGGGACAAGAACAAAGATGAAAAGGGAGATGAAAAGACTGTAATCAGTTTTCTTTACCTCCCTCGTACCCCACAACTGTGAATTCCTATCCGTTTAGCACGAACACCGCTCTGCTATCTTCTTACCTCCCTGCTCAGTCTTGTGCTCACTGACCGTCCTGCGCTCAGTATTTGGCCGAGGGAACGGTATTAGTTCTACCTTCTGTCTCTGTCTCCAGCGCAGCCAAGTCTTTCGCCAACGCTGGCGATTTGTTCAGCTTTACTTTCTGTCTCTCTGATTTTTTTATTTGTTATTCTGCCGGAGCTGCTGTTACCTGAAATGAGCTGCTGTTGACATCACAGCTGAACAAAAGCTAATTGCTTGACAGCCAGACATCTGAGTGCATCAGTGAGAGTGGTTTTGTTAACATCGGATGCCAATATCACAAAAAAAGAAGGAAGTCCCACTCATTTCTCTTGGTTTTAATATTCCCCTTTAAAGTGGTTGTTGGTGAAATTCTTGTTTTTATACTATCTTCTTTATGTCTTTCATGAATAGCACTCGCTTATGACTTTTGCATCAGTATATAGAAGGCCTCTAAACACAAAATAGCTTGTTTGTCATGGTCTTTTTTCTATTTGCTTAAAGTCACAATTAAATTAAAGTTCCCTCCAGAGGGAGTTTCTCCCCCACACACTCCACCCCCCCTGCCTGAAACCCCTCCATTAGACTCCTTTGTTTACTTCTGTGACATAACAACATCATTGTACACTATGTAACACTTGCGCTGCTATTGGCTAGCGCTCTGACACATTGTATGTGATAGTCTAAGAGGCAGGACATCTTGAAGCTGTTGACCAATCACAACAGAGCCGGCAAACTAACCAATCAGAGCAGACTGGGCTCTGGTTTCAAACAGAGGGTGAAAAAAGGTTCTGCAGTATGAGAAACATAAAGAGCTTTTTGAACATATTGACATACAGTATTGACTCTAAAATCAGTTAACCAAATGTAACATGTTCTTTTAAAGTTTATAATCAGCTACTTAGATGTGACCTCATGTGTTACTTCTATGATGGAGTTACATATGTTTAATTCTGGGGCTAGATATTTTGCAGGTTGCCATTTTTTAATCACAGCAGAGTTTTTACAGCCTGAAGTTTTCAGACTTACTGTATATAGTATTAACTTGGGTAATACATTGTATTCAGAAAACCCAAGTGAAGCAATAAGTTATTGGTAGTTGCAAGTCTTATTGAGAACAGACTTGAGTCACCAATTGTTTGATTTGACTCATGTAACTCACGGCAACACCTTTGAAAAATTACTTTCTTTCACTTTTATTAAAGTTTGATCTTGGTGAAGGTTAGGGAAATATTTTGGCCATAGTTTAAAGAAACTAAATTATACTGTTTGTAGGCAGCAGGATGTGAACAGCATATCCTTAATAATTAAGATACATGAGTTGTTGAGTCTTGCAGTATCCATTGTTTGTGTAGTAATACCACGTTAAAAAAAGATTACTGAAACTAGAAAGAAACTTGAAGAAAGTCAGGTTTTATTCTTGGTCGGTTTATGGGATTCCCCATGGCGTTGCAGATAAGTCCTGGCTGTTTACAGTCACTCAGCAGCTGTGTTTCAAGGTGCGAGAGTACGTCAATTACAGAGTGCTCTAAGGAATGTCTTTATAGTTTCCTGTTAGCTGTTGGTTTCTGGATTCCTAAAGGTCTGAAACATTGTAATTTGTCGATTCTGTTGTTGGTACTTTTCTCTCAGTTCCTGTGTTGTTTTCTACACGAGGAGAGTCTTTTAAGCACTTTAAAGGGGCCCTATGATGCTCCTTTTCAGGTTTCATAATTGTATTTTGCTGCTCTACTGTGACACAAAGTGCTTTATTTCTCTTATACTGCCTGTGCTGCAGCACCTCTTTTCACCCTCTGTCTGAAACCAGAGCTCCGTCTGCTCTGATTGAGTCGCTGGCCAGCTCTGTGGTGATTGGTCAACCGCATAGAAATGTCTATCATGTACATTGTTTTGGAGCCAGTAGAAGCGCAAGTTTTACATATTGATGTCATTATATCACAGAAGTAACCAAGGGAGTCTGATTAAGGCATTTCAGGCAGGGGGGCAGTGTGTGGGAGAGAAACTCCCTCTGCCTTGAACTTTGGGATTTTAGCCTTTGCAGACCATTTACATGCACACAAACGACATAACAGGGAAAACCCCGAAAGCATAATAGGGCCCCTTAAAAAGGTTGTCCTTGACACACATTTTTTGTTAAGCTTTTGCCTTTTAAATAATGGATGTTTTCAACCTTTGGGCTCCTTATTAAAAATGAACACATAGCCTGAATACAGAAAGACACATTTGGCATTTTTCATCATGTTTTGCAGAACACTCAATGTATCCCTATACAGGGGAGTCATGATTCTGCATAACTTGGATTTCAAGGATGTTGAGCCTTTAAGCCATTTAGGTCATTAAACTGGCTTGTCTCCTCGCTACAGTTTACTTTTAAATTCTGGGCCAAGCAGCAGAGACCTTTTTGTTTACTTTACCTGAATTGAATAGCCGTTAGCACAATTGGATTCCCTTAATCATCCTGAAAGAGATAATTGCACATCGAAGAGTAGTAGTGGGACTAACAACCATTCGTCTGTGTGACTGCATGGGACCAACACTCTGGGTCTCAGTTCAAATTAAAGGATGTTATCACAGAATGGAAATAGGGTTTGTAGCCACTATTCACGGTAACAAGAGAGACGATAGGCAGCATAAAGAGCAGAACATAACTCAAAAAGCACCTTTAAAGACACCTAATATTTGTCAGTGCAAATTAGATCTTCTAAACCCCCTAAAAAATAAAATATTATATAATATATAATAATATTGGATTTTCACGTTTGTTTGTTTTACAAACAATTCAATTGAACAGCTTGTCTCAGCATAGAATAGCAAGTTACATCTCTATTTTGTTTTACTCAAAGCTTCATGAATTAGGCGCGACACAGTAAGCTGAGGATCATCCTCAGAAATGAGTGTCAGTCGGCGTCAGTGGGTCCAGGTGGGAACAATGGATGCTATTGTCCATATGTGTGTGTTTGACAAAATCCTAAGACCTCCTCAGCAGCAACTGTCCTGAAGCGGAGGAGAATGGCATGTAAACATGAGACTCACAGACTCCAGGCTTTACGTACACACTTGTAGAAACACACACACACTCACACAGTCCGGTACACATTAAGTGGGCCTTTGCTGACGAGCTGTCAGTTGTCTGAGAGAAAATTCCA